ATGATTCAGCTTTTGGATTTGTCATAGATAAGAACAGGATGTTGCTTACAAGAATGCTATTTCTTGTAAACTGATCCATAATTTGCGGAAAAAGAAATAATAAATAACAGTAGAATGTGAAGGCATGTATACGAACATGAAGCTTATTTATAACAATCACCGTACTATCATTTCCTTCAATCATTTATACGTGACCCTCAGCACAATCTAAATGGACAATATTTTAACAGGATTTAAATACTCAATATCTCCATATTGTTATTTCTCTATTTCTTTAATGAAATATTAATTAAGAAAAAAACTAATAGAGATCTTTGTTAAATTTTATTCAATAATCAGTAAAAAATATAAAAATATATTTCCGGTAACAAAGTAATAATTGTTTTCAACAGAAAAAACATATTATTCTAAAAAAGTAATATATATTCCTTGTAAAACACACGTATTCTTTATCATGTATATTATACACTTTACAACAAATTAAAGGGCCATGAATTAAGCAAGAGGGTTCATATTTATCTTTTTCCAAAGTCACGTTTTAATCATTTAGGATCGAGTATATGAAGATCAAGTTCTGTCTTGCTCCATGTAAAAAACCCTCGGTGGCAGCGTTGATGAAACGGTGTATTGGTATGAAGAAGAAGATGGATAGCAGTATAGCAAAAAAATGGCGACAACTCAGTGGCCAAAGTCATTGGAAGGGTCTGATAGACCCTCTGGACATTGACCTTCGCCGCTACATCATACACTACGGTGAAATGGCTCAAGCGGCATACGATGCTTTCATCACGGAGAAAGCATCGAAGTATGCTGGAAGCAGCAGATATGCCAAGAGGAATTTTTTCTCAAAAGTTGGTTTGATGAATGGCAACCCCTTCACGTATTCCGTGACCAAGTTTCTGTATGCAACTTCAGAAATCGAAGTCCCTGAAGCGTTCATCATAAAGTCGTTTTCTAGAGAGGCTTGGAGCAGGGAATCAAATTGGATAGGGTATGTTGCAGTGGCGACTGATGAAGGGAAAGCTGCGTTAGGGAGAAGGGACATTGTTATTGCATGGAGGGGCACAGTGCAGACCTTGGAATGGGTTAATGATCTTGAGTTTGTTTTGGTTTCTGCTCCTAAAGTGCTTGGTAATAACACTGATCCAAAAGTGCACCAGGGTTGGTACTCCATTTACACCTCTGAAGATCCACGTTCTCCTTTTACCAAGAGCAGTGCCAGAAACCAGGTACATGCATACATGTGGTTGTTTCTGTTTATTAGTTTTTTTCTTTTCATCTTATCATCATCATGTTATCTATCATACATACTTATATATTTTCTCTTGTTTTCACCATGTGTGAACTGTCAATTAGCATGCCCAAATCAATAATATTTTGTTTTTTTATCAGGGAAATTTCTGTTTGAGGAAATTATGTGACTTCACGTGATGGGAAGTAATGTTTTCACCCCTTTTCATAAAACATGAATCTTTTAAAACATGAAACTTATTCAACTGTTGAAACTTGGAGTCGAAGCACCCATCCTTTTTATGTCTTCTTTCTTGTTCTTTCATTTAAAGAATGACAAATAGGCGAAAAAAAAAGAATAAGTAAAGACAGAATCATTCAAAGAAAGAAAATTATCATTTGAAACATTGGTCAACTTAAGAAAGGGAATTATATTAACTAATGTTGATGACGTTAATTCTGCTTCAAAGAAAATACAGAATAACATTGTTATTTTGATGTTATCAGGTCCTAAGTGAGGTGAGAAGGCTGGTGGAACTATATAAGAATGAAGAAATAAGCATAACTATAACTGGTCACAGTTTAGGTGCTGCAATTGCAACCCTCAGTGCAGTGGACATTGTTGCAAATGGTTACAACAAACCAAGTGATCCTTCTCTCAAGGCTTCTCCAGTCACTGCCATTGCGTTTGCCTGCCCAAGAGTTGGTGATACAAACTTTCAGAAGGTTTTCTCTGGCTACAAAGATTTGTCAACCATACGCATTCGAAATGAGTTAGATATTGTTCCAAACTACCCTCTTGTGGGGTATTCGGATGTAGGTGATGAGTTGAAGATTGATACCCGAAAATCTATGTACTTGAAGAGTCCTGGGAACCCATCTAGTTGGCATAATTTGGAGGGTTACTTGCATGGAGTGGCGGGAACACAAGGAAAAGGAGGGTTCAAACTCGAGGTTAATCGTGATATTGCACTTGTGAATAAGTCCATGGATGCTCTGAAAGATGAATTTCTTGTTCCCGTTTCATGGAGGATCGAAAAGAATAAGGGTATGGTTCAAAAAAATGATGGTTCGTGGAAGCTCATGGATCATGAGGATGATGACTTTTGATCCTTCATTTAGAATTGGGACTGTCTTCATTTCGTTTGCAGATTCACATTTGAGGTTGTTGTTAATTGGAGAAAATTTTAATTTATAACTTGATTTGTTTATTATACAATCTTTGTATAAGAAGTCTCAGACGAGCATTATTATTACCATTTCGAAAGAGTGTCATCGATTGAAAATTCAGATTTGTTAAATCTCCTATGTTTGGTGAACTAAATGTGATTATTCTTTTATTATCATGTGACATTGATTTGCGTTCTTAATATGTTATTCTGTGATTTTTGGCACGAATTGGTTTCTTCTTATTTCTAATCTCGAATCATATCAATAACTAATTTGTGCTCCGGAAACATACAAACAAATAAATCTTTTGATTCAAAAGTAATATAAGGGATTACAGTATACAGTAGTAACTTATTTAGTTTATGGAGCGTGTGTGATATTTTTTTCTTTGCTTTGATGTAATATAAAAATATAAAACAGTTTTATATCATCATTCAGTCTCAAAATATTATATATCAGATTTATTATTTTTTATAAAAAATACTTTAAAGTTCATTTTAAAGAATATTTCTGACTGATTGATAGTATAAATTTGTTTATAATAATATTGCATAATCATTCAACTCTTATTTCAATCCATTAAGAAGATATTTCGAAAACTTACCACTATTGTTGGGCTTTACGGGTCCAAACATAATATCTTGCATCCGAATCACACTAGACCCAACTAATATTAGGCCCATGCATGGTCCAGTTCACGGAGTAGATCCTACTACTAAAATGGGCTTGGCCCCCTGAATGCGTTTTCACCGGACCACAATTTTTTTTAAAATGCTGATATAACTTTTTAAAACATTTTTCATTTCAACAGGAAGAATTTGTTGGGACGAAACTTCTTTAAAACATTTACCGCCATGAGTCTTATATGAAAATTTCGTAGCTCCTATTATACTTTAAATAGATTTAACTTTATCTCATTATTTTAAACCTACTCTTTCAAATTTTACTCAAATGATGAAATTTTGTCAAAACTTACCATGTCACAGTTTAATATTTGAACAATTATTTTTCCTTTAAAACAGGCGTTCTTAAAACATGGTTACGATATTAAAATATAATATTTTATTCTTTAAGAACCAACAATTTATATAAGATATAATTCTTAATTTTAAAATATACATGTCTTATCAACATATTCAAATGAGAGTATTTTATAAGATTATGCTCTTAAATTTAAGATTATTATTGATACAGATGCATTAGAGATTGTATGATGACTTTGGGGGGGGGGGGGGGGAATGAAACAATTTCGATAAACTAGTATTAGTTTATGTATAAACTAAAATAAAAAATGTAAAAAAAATAATTATAGTATGTTCTATAAATTTATTTATACATATTTAATGTTAACTTATAGAGAAACTGTTTTCTTTTATCTCTTTCAGAAATTCTTACGAAAAATTCATCCTAATAGAACCGTATCCATTATTACTAAAACTTATTAAAGTGTACCAATTTGACGAATCTCAGTTCTAAATTAAAAAATTACGAAAATTAGTAATTTCGAATGAATTTCAACTAATAATAAAAATTCCTAAATTTTGTTCACTTTTAGTTAATTTGGTTTCTAATTTTTTTATGTTTTAATTTATTTTTAAATAGTTTCATAATATTGAAAAAACATAATATTTTAAGCATAGTGTGAATCTTGAATATGTATGGTGGGTAATTTGTTTCAGACATTGTTATTTCATGTATTTGAATCACCATCTTAATTGAGGAACGCAGTTAATCAATATTCATGGCAAACGATATGTCATATGGTATGCATTTTTATTAATATAATTATCTTAAAAATTATTATTATTATTAAAAATATATAAATCTATAATACTAGTTGAATATATAGAAACTCACTTTTTTTAGAAAGAAATTAATTAGTTCAATTTTTATTCGTTGTGAGTGTTAAAAGTTTTATTTTCCATCTATTTTTGTTCACATTACTAGGTACTTTTTCAGCAAACAAATATATCCTAAGAATTACAAAAAATATATTTTAAAAGTTTTGTAAGTGTTACATATACGATATTTAATAATTTTTATAATCTTTTTAATTTTTATTTAAATTGAAAATATTTATGAGGATGAATTGAAAATAAATGCTATGTTAATAGCTTTACAACCCACACATATACATACCAAATCTCTGACGTGAAGCAAACAATTATTTTCATGGACTCCACACCCACAATGTTCTCACCACACTCATCCATCATTCTAACTCCGTATGTTTGACTATTTATAATTGATATTTAAATTCTTTTTTATATATGTTTACAATAAAACTTAATATAAAGTTGATATTTAAATCCACACAAAACTTATTTTTTATTCTTTCTAGTTAAACGAAATTTGGAAACAATATCACATTTATCTATTAACAATGAAACATCTATATATTTCAACAAAATCAATCAGACCATATAAGTATAAAATAAAGTCTGACGATTCTTGACATATAACGAAACACGACCTGTGTGCATTAAGCAACGTAATGCATATCTGCTGAGGTCCCCAGCATTTATGATTAGGTTGTCACTGTGACAGATTTATTCGTGGTGCGGCTAAAAAGTTTGGTGATAGCATCAACACTAACTAGTCTAGGCTATCTGGTAGGGAGAGGGCTTGAGTGGAGGATATGAGAATGGACCATTAATTAGACCTTTGGCCATGTACCTATAAGCTGCTTCCGTCAAATGAATTCCATCCCAGTTTGCATATCTGGATGGATCTGCACAGGCCTTTGAACCAATGTGACCACACCTTGCTGACAAATTGAAGTTGTAGGGTCCACCACCTCCACAGCATGCTCTCAATGCCCCACTAGAAAACCCTACACATCCAATCAATGTATACAAATTTAGGTGAGTTTAATAATTAGAAAAGAAATTTTCCAACCAAATTCAGCAAAAATATCCAGCATAATCTCAGAAGGACACACACCGTAGTTATAAATAACATCATTGATCATTCAATTGCATTCAAACATATTGAAGGCTATATAAGAACAAGAAAAATATAGTATATAATTTGACTTTGTCATGTATGATAATGATCTTGTTGATCTGTTTAATCATTCATTTTTGAAAGTCATCTTTCATAAAATTTACAATAATATAAATAATTTTATATATGTATACTGTATACATTTTAAATTAAAGTTGTAAAAATAAAAATACGTACAACACACTAAGAACTAACCATAGTGTCCTGGTGCATGGAAGAAACGTTTGGCAACACCATAATAGTCTGCATATAGTATCCTTGCATGAGGATTCTTTTGCCTTAGTGTCTCCAAGGCTTGCTGGAGCTCCTGGTTATGGCGCTCTGCAAAACCATTGAAAGCTTTCAAGCATCCATTTTTATCGTAGTCCTCCTGGTTCCCGCTTTTATACAAAGTTAGGTATACCGCAGAGCAGCCAATTGGCAAATTCCCCGGCACCAAAAGCTCTCTTGCTCCTTCAGCTATCAATTCCTATCGATATAAAGGACGAAAGTAGAATGAATTCATGGAATAGAATGCATTCATATTGTTATCAACCAGGTTCTCAAGAGATTAGTTGAGGCAGCTATTAATGCACTTGGTTTGATATACGATACATTGATGGCCATTGTTATTGCTTCGACAACAGGAGTAACAGTAGCTTGAAGTTGAGAAATATTTCCAGCAATGGCAGCATAGTTATAATCATTACCACCTATCTCTCCCACCAGAAAGAGAGAGCGTTCGAAGTAGCTATCACAATCTGTTACATATAAAGACAAAAAGCCAATTCAAGTTGGAAATATTATTCAAGACATATGAGAGTGTTTAGTGTTACCTTGTTTAGTAGCGCAAAGAGAGGGTTTAAGTTTCTTAAACCAGCCAAGCTGAATGCTCAGTGAATTATTTGTCCATAGAAATTTCTCAAGTCCGGCTTCAATGAAGAATTTTGGATCAAGTGCTGTGGCTCCAGCAACGGCAAAATTTACCCCACGATGGATGTTTTGGTCTTTGGTTAGTGCCAGAAAGGGTGGTAAATATGGCAACTCAAATGCCTCAGCTATATTAATTCAAAAATCATGACAAGCGAGTATTACAATAAGCTTCCATGTATTTCTTTTCAAAAGATTTTCTTCTCTCCCTTTTAAGAGATAGTGGATAAAGAAGGTTCCACATACCTAGGAAATCAATTATTAGTCGTCCATCTGAGCAACGGCCGGTTGAACGATTAAAGAAGGTTTCACCATAAGGAAGCTTTCCGATGACTGGGAATGATAAGGCTCCAGAAGCAAGTAAATTGCCAGTGTCACTCAAAGAATCACCAAAATTGAACATTGCATTATATGGACCATTACTTGGATTTGAAACAACTTTCTCATGGAAACCAAATGTTAAGGAAGTAATGACTAGTAAAATATAGATCTTCATAGTGTTTCTAAGAAGATGGTCGAGCAAGAACACTAATATAAGTAGAGTATAAATAATTATGAGGGGAAGTTATATAAGCCTCTAATGCAGGTAAGGCTTAAATATTGTCACGTATATATATATTTTTCTCATTTTTTCAGTTTGATATATATCTGCTTTATACTAGGTCAACCATTAGATTCAAGAAAAAAAGAGTGGTGAGTTATAAGAGATGTGTGTAGTTAACTGAAAGTTTTTATATTGGTTGGACATTATTAGATGATTAATTTGGACGGTGAGCAATAGAGGACCAAAGCAACTAATGATGACAGATGAGAATTAAACACACAAAACCATTCTCCTTATACGTTGTGATTATTAATCTAACGGCCGTTATTCATTTCTCTTTCTCCATTTCAATTTTTCTTTTCTTTTTCTGATTATTTGTTATATATAATTATTTGTAGGTAAAATAATTGTTTGTCACGGGTTTAAAATAATCTATACTAAAACTTTAATATCAAAATTAAAATGTAAAATAAATTATAAGCATTAGTGATTTATAATTTAGAATATTTCTTTTATAGAATAATTAAAAAATATTAAATATAAAAAATTAAAAATATATTATTTATATTAAATACTTTATATATTGCTTAATTGAATTACATATTTTAAAATAATAATTATCTTAATATGAACTATTTTTATTACCTTAATTATTTTGTTTTATTTATTTACTTTTAGCATTAAACTAACTGTAGTTAATGATAAAAAAAAACAATACAAAAAGTCAAAAACTAAAGAAATAATTAAAAAGTTTAAGAAGTAAAATAAAATTAAATCTTATTTACATATATTAAAATGAGATGTGATAAAAGTATATTTTTTATATTATTAAAAGAAAAAAATATTTTAACCAGAAATCTTGGTACCGAAATTTAAGATTTAATTTTTAGTACAATTTTATCTTTGAAAATTATTTGGACGGGTTGAAAAGTAAAATAAAAAAATAATAAAAATAAAAATAGTATATATATATATATATATATATATATATATAATTTTCTAAACCATAAAAATATATCAAAATAAAAATGAAATGAAGGAAAACATATAACAATCATTCCATTCTATTATGTTAGTCCACTTACTATGATAAATTCAACGGTACAAATGCAATTTCACTTTGATTGATTTGGTGGAGAGACCAATTAATGAATATGGATTCACAGCAAAGTTTATATTCTCTCTAATTATGGATGTACAATAAAGAAAAGAAGAGCTGTTTTCATATTAAAATTAAAACATTTTTTATTTTTATCACATTTAGAGTTTAATGATACAATGTTAGCATCAATTTTTTCTATTTTATTTTTTACTTTCATGCAATTAAAAATCAATGTTCATATTACTAATTAGTATAAAGTTTGACAAATTATTATACTTGATTATTTATGGTGCGTTAATATATTTTCATCAATATTATGTAAGCATTAATAAATGTTTTAGAAGAAATATGATTATATTTTATTAGATTACGTTCACTCTATCAACGTATTTCATTCACTCAAAGGAAATATGACTGATACAATTTTATAATATACTGATGGTTTTAAAATTTAAAAAATGCAGAAAAATATATATAATAGCCGTTTATTTACCTAAAATGGTAACTCATTTTAATAATAATAATAATAATAATAATAGTAATAATAATAATAATAAAATTTTAAAAACTAGTTATCTATGTATCATTGTTAAAAGAAAAACAATAGTCTCACCTCAATGAAAAATATCTTCTTTTACGAGAAAATTACATAAAAACATCTACAATCATAATTTTAACTTTTTAATATTTGTTTTATACTTTGCAAAATTTGCACATACAATTATACCTTTACTAGGAAAAAATAAATAAATTCCTCCCCTCTCTTTTTCCATCCAACGAAAAAAAAAAAAAAAGACTTGTTTCATTTGATCCAAAAACAAAAAAAATTATTTATTTTTTCTTTACTTCTTCCTCCACGTGTTTTCTACGTCTTGGAGAGTACGGGAGTATAAAGGAAGAAAAATGTTGCAGACGAAATTATTGTTTCTTCTTTAATTATGAAGCATAGATAGTGCAGGAGTAATAGTTATATTACGATTAATTTTGAAAAGAATAAATAAACAAGCAAATAAATAACATTAGTTTTAAAGTAATTGCTACAATTTGTCTTCATTAAACATCAGCTTACATACAAGTGCGGCTAAGAAAGGCTCTGTAATATTGCGGATACAACTCAGAGGATGCAATCACATCCTCTTCCATTAAGGGATCCTAGTTTTCTTACAAGGATTTTTACATTGATATTTATTTCATACATAGTTATTAATGTTTTCACCTGTGAAACAAGAGACACTAAATTTAGGAATGGTGTAGGGTCCATCTAATAAACCTATGGCAATCCATCTATATGCAGCCTCGGTCATATGATAACCATCCCAGCTAACATAGTGTGAAGGATCATCACAAGCAACCACCCCTGCTTCCCCACACTTGGACGTATCATTGTAATTGTAGGGGCCGTCACCTCCACAACAAACTTTCAGAACATTTCCACCAAACCCTGTAATAATAACATCAAAGCAAATCTGATGTATCAATCACTCTTTCAGAACGAGAGCCCATGCTTTAATCACATACTCAAACATCATCCGAATATCCCAACAACAAAACTTCAAACACATTTCGCTAAGTGTTTTTGATAATGTTCTCCAATCAAAATTAGAATTTTATTGCAACGAAATTTTACATTATATATATATCAGTATAGGTTGATGAAATGATACTCTAATTTTGATCTGAAAACAAAACCAACACTTGAAATATTGCATCAAAGTTCTGTTCCTATATTAAATCTGAACTATTCAACCTTAAGTTCAATGATTCCAACTAGTAGGACTGACTAATGGAACATGGATATATATGACTGACTTTTCTGCTTACTAGCAAGCTACAAATGTTGACATGACAAAGCTAAGAGGATAGATATACCAAATTGCTCTGGAGAATTGTAAAGCTGCAATGCAGCGTTGAAATAATCTGCATAAATAATATCGGTATGAGGATATAGCCCTCGAAGCTGATTTAGCTCAATCTGGAGCAGCTCATTGTGGTAGGCATGAAACGTGTTTAACCATTTCAAGCAGCCAACTTGGTCATACTTCTCTTCATCTGTAGTCGCGAATCTTGTTAAATAGGCTGGATTGCATCCGAGTGGGAACATTCCAGGAACCATAAATGTTACAGCCCCTAAATCAATCAACTCCTGCATGAATTAATAAACCAACGAATACTTAGCCAAAATTAAAACTAGAAAGAGAAAAGAAATCACAAATCCTTGGTTTCTTCTCAAAAGAAACTGAAACTGCCTCACTTTCGGTATAATGCAACAAAAGAAGCATTGTCTTGTATGAAATAGAACATTTTTAAATACAAAAAATAATTTCCAAGAAGCACTAATCTAATTATCAGCTATTAGTCCTTCCAAGATGCAGTAGCCTATGTTGCAAGAATGTTTCTCTCTCCAAGAAATAAGTAAAAGCTCATCTTTTGAAAATTCATACCAACTTTCAAGTTCACTCGACAACTTGGTTTCATACCAACATCTCACACCTTTTCTTTCTTCCTCCTCCACTTTCCTTTCCTCAACCCTAACGCAGAGAGACCCGAGACCCTTTTACATCACCTAATTCTTGTCGGATCCAAAAATAAACGACTTAAAATAAAACGATGGTAATTTTGTAAATATAGGGTGTAACTTTTATGTCGGACCTATAAAGGGATAACGTAAAAAAGATCTTTTACGTCGGACCAATAGGGATCCGACGTAAAAGTCGCGTTTTATTCTATTCTTGCATTATTCTCTCGTCTCGCGCAGCAAGGATTTTTTAAAATGACGACAACGATGATGACCAACTTCTCTCAAGGTACATTTCGACCACAGTGAGTGACGGAAATACTTTTATTGTATCCCATTTGTGGTGGTTGACATTTCTCTCCGATTGAATTCGAGTTTTACAACATATTTGTATATTTGAGGTTAGTGTTCTATGTGTCTCATCTCCTCTTTTATGTTGAAATTGAATGTTTTCACTTAATTGTTATTGATATTGAACTATTGTAGTTAGTGTTCTATGCGTTTGAATCATATTTTGTTGTTGTTATTGTTGTAATTTGTATATTGGGGGTTTAGGTTGTTGTTGTTGTTTTGTGTATTAGGGTTTTATGATATAAAGAAAACAGAAAATGTTCGAAGCAAGATATCTTTTAACTCGAATGCAGATTCGGATGCACAACATATCAAAACAAAGAGAAAAAGGTGAAGAAGATGGGGCAAATTCCCGAAGGGGATTTGTCCTAATAGTTTTTCCAAAACATGCTCCTAAGCATATGTAATAAACAAAAATTTATGCGAGTATAAACAGAGGTAATTGCTTTCAACGTTTGTTAAGTTCATTTACCTTTGTGTGTATTGTATGTTAACTAAAGTCAAATTAATATTTTAAGTATTTCAATATTCATCCATCTCTACTATCAGGACATGATATTACAAAATAATAAGATTTTTTGTTCAACATTTCTAGTTTGTATTGTATTATGTACTTTAACATTTACGTAGCTTAGTTTTTGTTTTTGTATTATATTGTATGTTTGAATTATTGTGTATTGAAATATGATATCTGGACTGCAAGAAAAAAGAAAAAAAAAAAAAACGTAAAAAGCCAATTTTGTAGCAATCTCTTTCCTCCTTGCAACTATTTTATACTCCATAGAACCGTGTCAATAAAACTACGGATTCATTAATTACAATTTGAAAAGATACGAGAATGGTTACTAAACAATTGAATCAAATTCTTACCCTGATCGCTGAAGTGATCACAGATACTACTTGGGGTATATAAGGCACAAGATCTCTAAATGCAGTTGTTTCAGACAAAGGATAGCCATAATCATTGCCTCCAATCTCTCCCACGATAAATAAGGAGTTGCCAATAACTTTTTTGCAGCCTGCAAGAATGAAATCCTACATGCCATTGGAAATAGCTAGGAGAGTAGGAATTACCTACATGCTGACAACATTCGCAAAAGCAAGAGAATGAATCCTTGCTTATCAAATTTTAAGATTTATTTAGATAGTTATTATAGACTACTCACTTGATTTTTAAATTAGTTATTATGGAAAAGTACTCTATTAAATACCAAAAGAGAAATTAAGCCAATAAAAATCATAATTTTTAACCCAATTAAAGAATAACTTTTGACACATGATAATAATCGAATATGTGTTAGGCTTAACTCAATTAAAGGATAACTTTTGACTCATAATAATAATTGAATATGTGTTAGGTTTTGGCTCTGATACCATGTCAAAGTTGTAACATAAAACTAATTGATAATATTTAGAGTAATCTAACATGTATCTAAATGTAAACCATATCATGAAATAGGCGACGTGTTCTTCCAACTAAATCAATCAAAAATTCCTTTGAGGCAAAACTTGGATAGTGTTTTATTTATATTGTTTTGCAATTAAAATTAGACTTTCATTCAGATTACTTATGTAGAGTTCCAATTTTAATTGGAGAATAGTACCAGCATCGTCCAGGATATTGTATTTAAGTTTGGACTATCACTTTATATATAATATTTAAATTAATTATTTTCAAAATTAACAATTTTTCTTAAATGCGAAAAATCTATAATTCAATAACTATAAAAAAATCAATTAAAAAGTACCGAACTTTATAAATTCTATAAAAAATTAAAATAAATGGTGTGAACAAAATGATTAAATATAGTAATAAATACTTCAAAAATAGTAAATTGTAATGGATTAGCTTAATAATGCAAGAAGAGGAAAGAAAATATGACTTCACCGGAAGAAGAATTGCAGAGCGAAGGCAGCAATTCCTTGAACCAATCTAACTGGACCCTCAGAGAAAAGTTTGCGATCGCATCAACAGTGAACCCCTTTTCTTCAAAGAAACTGCGGTCCAACGCCGAGGCTCCGGCCACCGCGAAATTTACTCCCTGCTCAATATTCCCCCGTTTCACCTCTCCATTCTTGAAACCCAGATAGGGTTCTAAATACGGAAGCCCCAGAAAATCAGCTGCACACAAAACAGTAAGAAAGAATGAATTTTTTATCGGAGAAATGACAGGAATAGAAAGGAACATGGTGGAATTTGTGCCGTACCGAGGAAATCGAGGATAAGGCGTCCATTGGAACATCGTCCAGTGGGGCGATGAAAGTAGGTTTGTCCGTAGGGAGGGAGTAAGCAATTGGGGCTCTGGGGAGGGGAAATGAAATACAAGTTGCCGGTATCAGTGAGGGAATCTCCGAAGCTGAAGAGAGAGGTGTAGCAACCAGTGACAGTAGTAATAAGAACAACTGGTAGTAGTGGTAGCACGAGCACAACACGCAACCTTGTATTTGTCGTCGGAGAGACCAAATTTGACCGGACAGAGCCATGGTGATGGCTGATCATGGCATGCTCCGCTCTTCACTGACCAATAATCACACCTTATTGCTCATGGAACCTCGCTGGGACATCTGAAGTAGTGGTATGGACTATGGATTTAGTTACAAAACGTTCCGCAACACTCCTTGTACCTACTTGCATCTTCTGAAATCTTATAAACCAATTATGATTCTAAAAGAAAAGTTACCAACCATCAAAGAAAAGTTTTATCAATTTTACTACTTTTTATTACATATTTAATATAATATTATATTACAATTATATCATAAAGTTTAATATAGTTATATATAATTAATAAAAATAAAATTACAAAAATAATTTTTCATTTTTATTTATTTCATGTTGGAAGATAATTAAAAAGTGATTTCTATTCTATCGTTGATTATTCTTTAGCAAAGGTAAGATTTTTTGTAAATTGTTCTTAATATCTCAATTTATAGGGATAATTTTTTTTTACGTCAGAAAGGTTCTAATTGTTTTACATTTCGTCCAAAGAAATTCTAATTTTTAATAAAAATATTTAACATCCGTACGAGTCTTATTAAAAAGATTCCCTAAATAATATTATAAAGAAAAAGGAAAAAAAAATATATATATATATATATATTTATATATGATCAATATAAATGTGAGCAAAACAACTGTAGTAAAATATTATAACTTTAAAGATAAAGATTGTGTCTAAATAATACACCAAAATTCAAAAAATAACTTCAAAATATTTAGAAAACGATATCAAACTATTTATCGCAAAACTTTATTCGACACAAATTGTGAGTTGTTTTTATTTAAATTAGTAAATGACATTTTTTTTAATTTAAACAATATTTTAAGTAATTTCAGAAACATAATGTATTTTTTTACGATTGTATTTACCGATATTATTAAATTTAGTTATTAATATAATTTTTTTAAATACTCAATCAAATTCTAATTTAAATATTTATATTCTCTATTCGTTTGTTCAATAATTAATATTCTGTATCTCCTCAAACCAATATCACATTTGTTTATAGTTTGATTAATGTTTTCAACCTTAAAATTAATGCTTCATATTTAACTTCGTTATGCATACCCTATTTTTATTTTAAACAATAACTTACTAGAATTTTGTAGGTGTAATAGTATCTATTCTTACCCCAATTTTGTTCATACGGTTTGAACCATCAAAATATAATACCCACTTGTTTGCTTCGGAGACTAACATTTTCTTTATTTTAGTATGTGTATGATCCGACGGAAAATCGATCATGACTTGTCCTATAATCGATTTCAAGTATTAAATTGTAATAAAATTTTTGTTAATAAGTACCTATTTACCAACTCAATTAGGTTTTGATAATAATAACTTCAATATATTTTTCTTAGAAAAAACAACTACATTATAAGAATTAAGATAATATTTAAGCTTACAATAAAAATAATAAAGACATATAATTAATTTTTTAATTGTATTTTATCGAGTTCTAGAATCTATCACTAATCGACTCAAATCTAATAATGAAGAAAATACATAAGTATTTTCTGTCAAATTTAAAATAAATCTTTTCGGGTAATTAATTTTACCTAACAAAGACTACAGTTCTTTAATTCCTTCTATTTTTTTTTTCATGAGAGGTTTTAAGTAAAATTTCATTTTCTCAATAGGTAGATTAATCAAAGTGTTATTTCGATTTGAGACTCACGTGATATTTGAGTAACTCATAGAACTTTAGACTCAAGTATGATTCATATATAGTAATCCTCCTAATATAAATCACCTCTCCTTTAATCATCTTCACACTGATTTAGTATTTTGTAGGCAATATCAAGATGACTCCCAACACTCACATTTCCTTAATGTAAACTCGTACTTATACCCTCTTCCTAGTTTATCATGGTTCCAATATATATTTGATTAACTTGACTTGAACTTCATCTCTCCATCTGTTCCACTCTTGACACTTTTCTCCAAAAGGGTTTAGACATATTGCCTCGTGTTAATGGAACTCCTCGAAAAAATTCTTTTTGATATCTTGGATAACCAATATATAAATCTGGGTTGTATGACAGCTTGTAAAATACATTTTGAATCCTCGTTTCATAGCTACCTTGATGAAAAATTTTACCTTACACCCATTCATTTTTAGTTACCTAAGGCACAATAGTTCAAAATTTCTTTTGGTTACCACTTGTTGTTACTTGAATCTCCTAACCGTTGTAATCGAAGTTTTATTTTTGTTTTTCTACTACCTTTTCCTTTCTTTCCAACTCAAATTTCTTTGCAGTAGATATATCGAAGACAACACTGCACCTTTGACAAAGAGTTCCATCATTCTCTTTTTTCTTGTTTAAGAATTTGACCAATGCATCTCAATCTTAGAATAAATTTCATTATCTACTTCAAATTCTTCTAATTCCAGTTCAAAGTTCTCTTAAATTTCATTCATTTTCACATGCCTTGAATTTATATCATCCTATGTGATATTTATCGTGTAAATTCTTAAGACATCAATATCTTCAACACCCTCAATAGTGTTTATTTTAGTCTCGACGTACTCCACATGAGTTTTGAAAGGGTCGATATCCACTTTCATCAATTTCTCTTTGAATTTTAGTCTACCTTGATCAATAGCATCTTGAATAATATTTTTGAATTGTATACAATTATTAGTGCAATGACCATATATTATAAAATTTGCAATATTTTCTTCTATTCCTTCGTTCTAAAGTGGACAATTTATGATCATCACTTAATTTTATTTGTTTATCTTTGAGCAAAATATCAAATATTTGATAAGTTTTTGATACATCAAAATTATAAGTTTGATTTGTCATTTTGATATTTCACCTTTGTAACAATTTACAAGTATATGGTGGTCCCACTTTAAGTTTCAACGAAATTAACTTCCTCATTTTCACTTAGGTCATCCCCTTCATCTACTTCAAAAATATTAGATAATCTATTACTCAATGCATTAATATATCTTATCTTATCTTTTTTTTTTTTTTGGCTTTACAAATTTTTTGTATCTTTCTGTTTTATATTTAATTTGCTTCATCCTTCATACTTTATTAGTCAACTGAGCCATATCTCTCAAAGGTCAATTAACTAATTTCTTCCTTATCGAGAATTTTAATCTTAACAAGACCATTCTTACTAATTCACATTCTTATTTGTCGAAACCTATTAAGATAATCATAGATGTTTTCATTATGATATATCTTTTCACATTTATTAGATCAATTAAACTAACTTGTGTTTCTTTCCTAAAATCTGTTCATGACAAATTCTTTCTATTTGACCCATTTATAAATTGAATTTGAGTAAAAAGTGTCGAAAATCAAATGAAATCATTTTTAGTTAAAGAACTAGGAAAATATTTCATCCTCATATTTTCATTCATCAAGATGTTTTCACATTCGATGTGATATCTAGCAATATGTTTCATAATTGATTCCTTAATATCACTAGAAATTTTTTGTGAATTTCGATATTTTGAATCCTCAAGTGAGTTCAACTTCAAGCACAAAATAAAAAAAATGTGAAATAAAATAAGACTGCTTATCTAATCTCATTCCTACATCTTATTGATTATTCCATTGTCATATCATCTAATTACATTGCACATTATTTTGATTATACATATTATCCATTATATTACATCCATAACCATAACCTCTCATAGCATTATTCCACATTTGCAAAAATTGATCAGTATTTTGTCCTCTTTTAATCATTTGAACATTTCTTATTTGATTATTTGGCTAATTATTCTGATCTCGATTTTTATTTTGATTATTTTGCACTGAACCATTATTCTCTAGATTCTCTCTTTGAGGAATAATTAATGTATCCTCGATTCTAACCATTTGTTCCACTGACCTTTAAAAACTATTAGTCGTAATTTAGACTAAAGGGTTTAGTATTATGGTCATTGTTGAGAATTCAGATATGAGTTTGAAGTCCCACATTGGGTAGAATTGGGAAAATTTAGTAATTTATAAGTGAGAAAGACCAATAACCTAATGTCTTAAGGTTTTAAATTGAAGATGATGTCACATTTTCTTATTTGATTAACTCATGTCCTATTGTTAAGAATTTCCTTGTTATTAGCCCTCCTTGAAATACCCAACAATGATATCAGAGTTGATGATTTGTCTAATGAATGTCTCGATTGAGTACGATTATAATAGGTGAAAGATCCTAGATTGTGGATCCTTGTATCGAAAGTCTTCTTGACCAGAGTTTAAAGCAAGTGAGCTTCATTGTGCTGAACGATAATACAAGTAAGGTCGCTACTAGCTACTTAGGATTAAGAATTGCTTCCACTCGAGGGGATAGTGTACCAATGTAAAAGAGAATCATACTTAAGGAGGAGATTATTGAGAATTCAAGTATGATTTTGAAGTCTCATATTGGGTAGAAATGAGAAAGACTTATAACCTAATGTCTTAAGGTTTTGGATCGAAGGTGATGTCAATTTCTTATGTGGGTTAGACTTATGTCTCATTATTATTGAGTCTTCCTAGTGAATCCCCCCCTTGAAAGACCCAACAATCATTTATTGTGACAACAAGTTTACCATTTCATGATTATTATCGTTCATTTGCTGCCTTATCACCTTTAAGAATTTGTTAGATATTTCATTACTTGCATTTACGAAATCAATATTATTCCTCCTGAATTTTCTATCAAACCTTAATCGAGTATGATTTTGGTTTCAATCATTTATCCTACTAGAATTAGGAGTTGTCTGCCATGAAGGCATACCCTAAGGATATCTTTCAATTAGTGGTAAATTCTTATTATTTTGATTTATGAAAGAACTAGTCCCATTCGTATTGTCTCCCAAATTTGTAAAAGGTCTATTGTCCATCCTTGTGTTTATATGGGGTCCACCATAAGTAATGATCGAACTACTATCTTTTTGCATTATAGGCGTCCCCTAACTACTATAAGTAATCAGAACATTATGTTCGGCTACATTTCCTTGGGTAGTTGGGATGTTATGTTCAATTGTCAA